AAAATTAAAATGTAAAATACATAATGTGAAATAGGAAGAAAAGATAAAAAAAGCAAGGGGAAGTAGGAGGTGTTGGGTAAATGAAAAAAGGGAAATAAATAAATATGAAAAAGAAAAACCAGAGACAAAGTATTTTTAAATAGGGAAGGGTAGAGGGATTGAAAGGAGGGCAGAGGAATGGGAAAAAACATAAGAATCAAGATATATCATGTAAAGGTACAAATTCCCAATGATGAAAGTCATCATGTTGTACATCTAAAATGTACCGATAAATTTAATGCATAAAAAATTAATGTTGAATGGAATAATTTTCACTGATTATACACAGACCACAAGATTTTCCACTCACATTACTGGAAATATGTCTTCTCTCTAGAATGATGTTGTATAAGCCTATAGCAAGGAAGTATTTATGTGTCTGTATGTGTGTGATAAATACACAGAGTTCTAGACTTAGACCCAGAGTAGAGGGAGGGGAATTAGGAGAGGACAGAAAGAACAGATCTGAAACGTGAGATAAATCATTTTAAAAGCCTTTATATGCATATGCATTACTGGATTTACTTAATGGTTTCATCAGTAAAAGAGTATGTCTGAAAAGTTTTATATGTAAAACCACATTCAATCTCTATATAAATATGGGTGAGAACAGAAAACAAGAGAAACGTACTCAACACACACTGTCAGCCTAAATCAAAAGCCATCGGCTCTAAGCGATCTGTCAGCATGCTCAAGACAGTGCTGCGGTCTTCGTGCTCCTGAGTTGATGCTGGTCGAGATCCTTTGTTTGGTGTCTGAGGATATGTGCATTTGGGATTCCATTCTGTGCATTTTCCGCACTGCTGTTTGTGAATTATCTTCTCCTGGTCTTCATGAAAGCCAAGACGGCCTCCATGGACCTCTATACCTCTTAAAGCAACAGACATTACTCTCAGTACATACATCCTATCCAACATTCTAGGGATATTCTGGTTTAATCTGACAAAAATATATGTTGACATTTGCCTCCTACAGAAAAGTGGTTCATCCACACATTACAATTTATTAATGTGATGAATATAATGAGTGGATTTTCAAGTTTTGAAACAGTTCTGTGTACCCAAAATAAATCATACTTTAAAAGGAACATTATTTTTATTAATTGCTTTATTTGACCTTTTCAGTATTTTGTTGTGCATTTGTACATCTTAGTTAATGAGAGATACTGACCTAAGTTTTCCTCTTTGTTATTATTTCTATATGGCTTAGTATTAGTATAATCCTGACCTCATAGTAGGAAGTATAAAATGCTCTTTCTGTTTCTATTTTTTGTTTGTTTGTTTTGAGACAGGATCTTGCTATGTGGTCCAGACTGGCCTTGAATTCACTATGTAGGCCAGGCTGGTCTCAAAGTCAAGTCAATCCTCCTGCCTTGGCCTCCTGAGTGCTGGGATTAAAGGCGTGCACCATCACAGCTGGCTTGATTCTATTTTCCTTTTTTTTTTTTTTAAGAAATTGGAATTCCTAGTTTAAATATTCTCTAGAATTTACCAGTAAATTCTAAGCATGTGGCTTTCTGTTTTGAAAGACTATTATTGATTTATTTCCTAATAGATATATGCAATTTATATTTCTGTTCCTTTCTTTTATATTTTTATAAACTGTATCTTCCAAGGAGTTAACCTTACACTCATGTAAAATGTGTAGGTCTAGAGTTCATCAGAGTATTTGCTTATTTTCTTTTCAATATCCATGTTGATTAATCATAATGAGCCCTCTTTTATTTCTGATATTAACTTGTTTTAATTATCATTTTCTCCTTTGCCTGTCTATAGGTTTATCAATTTTATGAATCTTTCAAGAAAGCAATGATTAGTATATTATTCCCTACATTAAATTTCATTGATAATTGTCTGAAGTTCTTTATTTATTTTATTTTTTTTTGTTTCAGGTTCTTTAAATTTCATATTTATTGGTACTTGTTTGCCATACCTGATGATTTTTCATTGTGAGGAGTTTGTACTTATACGTAATACATCTTAGTTCATTTTACATCCTCTACCCCCACCCCATGTCTTGGCTTTAGGTTTAAATTTCATTTTCTTCTCTAGTTCTTGAAGTTAGAAACTTATAATATTGACTGCATAATTTTCTTCTATAATTTATACATCTAATGCTATAGATTCCTCATAAAAAGTGACTTCATTACATCCCATGTACATTGTTAGTTTTGTTTTCATTAATTCAAAATATAGACTTTAATTTTTTTCCTTGAGACTACTTCTATGACTTGTATGTTATTTAGAAAGTTCTATTTAATCTCCACAAATTTGGGGATTTCCCCCTACTTCTTTATTAATAACTTTTAAATTTAATTCTCTTTGGTCTGAGAACATATTTTGTACCATTTAAATTCTTTCACATCCTTTAAGGTGTATTTTATGACCCAGAATATGGCTTATTTTTTGAATCTTCCATGTAAGCTTGAGGAAAACATTTGTCTTGATGTTTTTCAATGGAGCATTACATAATTGTCCATCCAGTAAAGTAGATTGATTTTATTCATATCTTTACTGCGATTCTGCCTTATGAACCAATTTCTGAAAGCCAGGAAGTCAAATTTGCAATTGCAATTGTTTACATCCTCTTGCAGTTCTATCAGGCTGCCAAAACATTTTGATGCTCATTTGTTAATTCATACACATGAAAGACTGACAATGTACTTACAGATGACTGACCCTTTATCATTGCAAGATCACTTTATTTTTTATAATTTTCTATGGTCTAAAGTGCTTTGCCTAAAATTAACACAGTTGTTTAAACTCTCATGTGATTACTTAAGTTGTACACATGCCTTGATAACTCTACTTTAAGCAATATGTATTTGTATATTATAAAGTGGCTACCTAATGTACAGTATATAGGAAGGTAAATACTGGTTTTCCAAATACACAGAGAAGTTTGCATTCAGTTGTTATATTCAGACAAATGATGTTTATGTATTATTGATATAGCTGGTTTAAGATTTACCACATTTGTAGCTCTTTACTGTTCATTATATTTCTGAACGTTTTCTTTCATCTTTTCTGGAATTAATAAATAAACTATTAAATTTTGGTCTTAAAATATCAGTTATACTCCTTTACAGTTTGTAAAGATAGAAAATTAACCTAGAAAAAGTTCTATTATTGGATTACACAAAATATTTAAAATAGAGAAAAGTTGTGCCATATCAAATACTCCAGATACAAATAATGGGTTAATTGAGAAATAAAATTTTGAGAACTAGGTAGGGGGTATTGTTCATGTACTCTGATTTCATAAGCCAAATTCTACCAACACAGGTTGTATTGAAATTTTTATTTCTCAGAAATCTTCTTGTTTGGAAAGAAAAGACCCACCACTCTGTCACGAATCTGCTTGGTCTTGACCCCATACACTAGGGGATTGACCGTGGGGGGCACCAGAAGATAAATACTTGCAAAGATTATATGGACACTCGGAGGCACTTTCTTGCCAATGCGGTGAGTTAGGAAGCTAAATAGCGCAGGGGTATAAGAGACAAGAATAGTGCAAACATGGGAAGCACAGGTGCCCAATGCTTTAGAGCGGGCATTCTGGGAAGACAGACAGAAAACGGCCTGGAGGATTTTGATATAAGATGTCGATATGAGTCCTAGGTCCACTATCATCACAGAAAGGGCTACTGAGATTCCATACACTCTGTTAATGGAGGTGTCGGCACTGGCCAACTTCACCACAGCCATGTGCTCACAATAGGCATGATTGATTATATATTTTGTATAGTATGGCAAGCTCTTAATGAGAAAAGGACCGGGCAAAACCATAACTATAGCTCGGCTGATACTAACTAGACCCATTTTGATGACCATTGATGTTGTCAGGATAGTTGTGTAATGCATTGGAATGCAGATAGCTACATAGCGATCAAAGGCCATGGCTACTAGGAGGGCTGACTCAATAATGCAAAGTGTGTGGATGAAATACATTTGTACCAGGCAAACATCAAAGTCAATCCAGTGTGCATCAAACCAGAAAATGGCAAGCATCTTGGGGGCTGTGGAACAGGCCAGAGCCATGTCATTAGCTGCCAGCATGGAGAGGAAGAAATACATAGGCTGATGGAGGCTTGGCTCTACCTTGATGGTAACAATGATTATACTGTTCCCTAACAAGGTCACAATAAAGAGGAAGCAGACAGGAATGCCAATCCAGCAGTGAAATTTTTGCAAGCCAGGAATGCCAACGAGGAATAGAGATGAAATGTGATATGTAGCATTGTCTTCCATGTCAAAACTCAAAAAGCTGCATATTTAGTGGAAAGTAGGCCAATCCTTTATTGGTAGAAACTCAGATTATTAAGCATTTCTCCATTCCCCTAAATGAGAGGAATCCTAACTCACTGTGTAACGATCTTCATAGGGGTTAACTGTTGTTTTAAACCCTTGTAAATCTTCAGTCAAACCATTTTACCATTCAGCCTCCCAGGATCTTCACCTATAAATTGAAAAGAAATACATTAGTTTATTAGAGATTTCTCTCAAATTTAAATTCAATTCCACTGGAAAACTTGTATTCCCCATTAGAGAGCACAGCTAGTAAAATAACCTTATCTTTGTTTTCAAAGTCACTGACACACGATTCAGGGAAATGAAGATAAAACATGGAGATTCAAGCATAAATATACAAACACACAAATATTAATAGATTTTTCAGCTTGCAATTATCCTTAATAATTCTGTTGTCTCTATGTGGAATAATTAATTGGGAATTCACAGTAAAATCTCCTAATGCTAAAATGCATCGAAAATTCATGGACAATAAGTGTTTTGTCTTCATTATATCGTAAGTAGATATACTAATAAAAGACTAAATCATAAGAAATAAATATCTTACTTGGCTTTATAGTCCATTCTAGAATTGAGCATCTCTTCATTCCATGAAGTAGAAGAAGTGTTCTATGAAAAATAGTGACTGATTTTATTTTCTGCTTAAGAAAGCAGAAAAAATAGAAGAAAAATAGATTGGTCATTTCAGTTAGTTTCCTTGTCATATAAGGAAAGAGAGAGAGAGAAATAGAACAAAAAATAGTTAATATCTAGTTACTACAGATGGACATTGTTACTCAGGCTTAAAGCAGAGAGAACTTTATGATCACGCTTATTAAAACTGGGCTGTTTGCAAACTATGGCTGTTATTTCTCTCTGATGATTTCTTGGAAGGTCAGATAAGAACTTCAGTGTCAATTTACTGCCATGGAACTTCAGCTTGGGTGAATCTGCTCTAGGTTTTATTCTGGCTTCTTGGGGCTCAATGTAGAAGTCTAGTCCAAAAAAATATGAGCCCACAATTTTTACTTTATAGGATTAAGTCCTTAAAAAAATCCAAAGGAGGCAAGATTACACAACCATATAAAAAGAAGTAGTGAACGATTTTATTTCCTTACCTATCAAATGATTTAAAACGTTGCCCATAAGCACATTACTTTCTGATAAGTCCAGTTGGTTTTCTGTAAAGCGTGACTGTGTATCTACTTGATCCCTGCCCCAGGCTCTGGCAGCTACCTTGCTATAACAGGAAAAAATTAAAGCAAGCACTGTTCAGACTGTTTTCAGCAGCAAGAATACTTCTTCACACTCTTGAGCAGACCACATGTTTTAAGTTTTATACTGATGCTCTATTCTTCTTCTTAGAATACAGTTACCAACTAGCATCAGAATTGTGGAATATTTGTTCCACTCTTTATAATATGCTTTTTATTTATAATTTCTCCTGATATCTCAATTTCTGGCCATTATCCCAACTAATAGGAAAGCTTATTTCATTAATAATTATTCCTAATGGCAATACAGCCTTGTTTTCATGTCCAAATAATTCCTGTAAAAGAACAAAATTTATAATTGTGGTTTCTACTTTCTGTTCTTAAATGTATGCTGCTCTGGGCCTCTCTGAGTGAATTTTTGTGCTACTTCCTAGTAAGGAATGGAAAATGTCAATGAGTCCTAAAATATTTTTCAGACCCTAAACTTTCGAAAGAATGTAGAAACTTTAAGCTATGGAAAGTACCACATGGCAAAGGAAGCTAATAACCCTGAACTGAGAAAAGAATTTGAAAGAAAAGCCTATACATATTGACCTGTTAAAGTATGACAGGTTTTGAAGATTTTATAAACTCTGGCTCTTCACAGATTCTCAAATGACTGCTTTCCTTTTGGACACTTGTTATAACCAGTTATATTCTTTCACCTGATTGTGCAAGAATCAGACATACAAAAAATCAATTGCAGATGAGAAAGCATAATTTTAAACACAAGGTTGTGCTTGTGAGTAGGGTATTTACAAAAGATAACTTGTCTTGATCTCAAGACGTCTCAATAAATTTAGTATTAAAATATTTATACAAGTTTTTCTTTTCATGAAGTATGCATACATTCTTTGGTGCACTCTGTATATACAAACAGTTTACCTAGGAAACATTACTGAAAATTATTAATAAGCATAATTGCTTTGGCAAAGGCATGTAAATATTTAAACATCATTATATTTTACCTGCCAGTAAGTCTACCACCGCAACAAGGTTAATTTGTGTAAAGAAAAACAAAGTAATCTATACAAAAAGACAGAGACTTTCTCTTAAACTACAGAAGATTTCCACCGGTCCCTAGAAGAGAGAGAGTTGCAGAGAACACCCCCAAAGTGTGACCTGCTTGCATAGTCCCTTCTCCCTCTTAGAATGTCTTCTCTGTCTTCTCCCTGGCTTGCTTGGAAGCAAAGCCTAGATGTATCCATTCATTTCAGCAATGTCAATCTGAACATGATCTTCAGACATTCTGAAGGCCTGTCCATACCTCTTGATTTTTCTCTTGGCCCAATTAGTCTGTCTTTTTCTAAACTAAATACATGCTTAATTCCTTCTGAGAGACTGTGTTTTTTTAACAGTGTATTTTTTTCTGAATGACCAAAACCCCTTGGCTGAAATTGATGACTTCAGAGCAGACTATTGAGAATAGACTGGTATTTCTGTATAGGCTTTATTGAATCCTACACGTATTTTATATTAATTTATTAAAATAAAACAGAGAAAATGATCCCAGCTAAATTTATTCTCTTTAAACATGCTCTTCTCTCTGAATATACTTGATTTGGTGGCCACGGCAACTACATGGTCATTAAATTAAGCAATCTCAGAATTTTTCTTGCCACCTCTACATATTTAACTCTAATATTTCATCAAGCCGTTCTTTTAGAGTTCTTACCTTATTATTTGTGTCTATTTTCTCATTTTCATTCATCAGAATTTGAGGATTGAAAGAAAGGTCCTGAAACCCTGTAAATTCAGAGTACATTTCGAGGGAAGTTCAGAAGTTTCTCGACAATCTCAAGATCTTCACAAATTTTTAATCTTGTTATTGATAATGCTGACCCTGCAGAGATTTTCAGTTTGTTCATAATTATTTTCTCAACTGAATTCACTTCAACACCCTTCTAGGAATATGTTCTTCCAAAATTGTTCCTACTTATGAGTTACATAACCAGAAAGAAACTTGTAGCAGAAATTTACAAGATTTTCATGAAATATGTATATTTGGTTCCCCTTCACTACCATATCTCATTATTCAAATATCTATTATGGCCTTTCTAAATATATGTCATTTATATGTTTATGACTCTTCCTTTACTGCTTTTATCTTGAATTCTATTTTATAATCTATGATATATTATGGACGATACAAAAGTAACTTGAATCCAGTATTGTGGGCTCTGTGTCAAGTTGGTAGTTACAGTTGCTTCTCAGTGGGTTTGTTCTGATGCTCAGAAGGCTCTTCTGGTTAAAAAGGCTGATGAGTCCCTCAGGAAACATCAGACCTAAGGGAAGAGAGCACTGCCCAGGTTAAAAATAAAGCCATAGCAGTGACCCTCTGGAACAGCCATTTTAATTTTGCAAACTCCCCAGAGCTTGTATGGAGATAGTGTTTGTGTGTTTCTATTTAGAGTCTACAATCTGAAGAGACTTTAACACTGTGCTCAGTCAAACTTGTAGTTCTCCATAGGAAACTACAATGAGACTATGAAGAGAAAATGATTTAGTATGGGCAAACTACTTTAAAATTAAGAGAAAGACATTGCAAATTCTAATTCCAGAATTATGATTATTACTTCTGACTAATCAATGCCCTGGAAAAAAATAAATTCATCTTAAAGATGAATGCCCAAATCACGTAAATTTAAATTTATGTTTGCCTGTTAACTTGCATTTATTAAAAATAATATGCTGACTGGTCCAATAAAATGTGTTTTTATTATTAAATAGTGTGATTTGATACAAAATATTACCTGACTGATGTTATGCATATGTTAAAATCATCAGATATTTATAATATTTAAATAGCAAATATTTGTGAGATTCTTCAATGTTTTTATTGATTTATGATTATATTCTATTGCAGTCTGAGTAAATAATGATAAATATGTATAAATTTTAAACCCCTTGAACTTAGCATCTTTTCTTGTGCTCCAGAAAATGATGTTTTGTTGAATATTCACTTATGAATGAAGTAAACACAAATCTTGTAATTATTATTGAATTCTGCAAAGTGTCTAATGGGGTAGATTAGTTGCTAGTGTTGTCCAGACCTTCAGTGTCCTTTCTGGTTTATCTGCTCAATCAGTTATCGAGAAAGAAATGTGAAACTACCAAGAGATACACTGTTTTGTGTATTTCTCCTTTTGTCTGTGTGGTTTGGGCTAGAAGTTGTCATCCTCCTGCCTCAGCCTCCCAGAGTGCTGGAGTTACAAGCCTGTTCTGACACCTTAGGCTCTTAAAATACTTTTTTCATTTTGACCTTCTGTGTTGGATTTTGTACCTATTTGTTGTATACCTCTTTTCACCGTATTTTCAACATTGCTCTAAAATCAGTAGAAGACTTTATTATTATAGTCTACTATGAAAAAGTATTAAAATATGTGAATAACTAACAAAATGTCAATATGTTTCAAAAATTCAGAGTATTACAAATATTTGTTTTCCCTCCTTTTCTGTACTGCTGGGTTTTTTGTGTGTGTGGTTTTTGTTTTTTTTGTACCACGGATCAATCTAAGGACCTTGCACTTGCGAAGCAGGTTTTGGCACCACTGAGCTAAATCCCTGGCCCTGTACTGATGTTTTAAAGTATGTTAATTAAAAATTAATCTTTCAAAGATAATAAGTAATAACAAATGCATATTTTACAACTCCAATTTTAAGGTTGTTTATTTCTTTTTAAAAGGAAACCCATGTTTTTATTTGAAA